GCCGTCAATCACCAGAAAGAAGCACAAGGAGCTCCATGTGATTGTCAGTCATGATTCCCATGCGATTGTGGCTTATGTTCCCTCTATGAAATCGTGAGCCCTGACGGTGTGAGGTGGTATACCAGGCTGAAAGTTGCATCTTGCTGCGCAATGTTGCGCAGGACATGGCAATCTTTCTGCTGCAGAAGCAGGACTGAGTCTTGCATAGGGTTGCCATGTCCTGCATCCTCATTAAGAAATGGGCTTTATATTTATATAGTTATATATATAGAATAAATATAACTATACTGAATTAAATATCTAAAGAGGATAACATTTTTGTGAACACCTGTCCATACCTTTTTTTTTTAGCCTGAAGGACCACTGCCAGAGACCCCTGAAAAGGTAAGAAGACCAGAAACGGATGCTTGGTCTCAACTGGATGCTTCATCGCAGCGCTATGATGTCATGACCCACCTCATGGATTGCCCACCGCAGCAGAGGGATCCACAAACTCCAGACAAATCAGGCGTGGTTACTTCATGTTACTTCCAAACAAAGACACAGGTTATACATGGAGGATCATGTATATACAGTAGATGTTTTTTTAATAGCCCGTACTGGGGTCAGAGCTTCCAATTTCATAGACACTTTATGTATCTTAATTTATGTTGTAAGATGTTGTAAGCATTTGTAAGCTTAACATGGTTTCTGGTTGCATACATGTGTTTACCGCAACTCTTCGGCGCCACCCCATTTGTTTTTTTGGGGCAGGATCCCAAAAGAAGCACAAGATTGAGCAGAACGCAGTGAACAAAGTGAAGACTGACCCTAGCATGTCCTCGAACAAGCGAGTGAAAGCAGAGCTGCGACAGAAGCATGCAGCTTCACCGGGGGAGAATGCAATTGTAACTTGGTTATACAATTTTATACCTTGTAATGGATGGCACACGGCAGCGGAGTGTACCAGGGATATGCTTTGTAACGGGTTTTATAGATTTTTATAGCGTGCGGGCTGTTTGCTACTGGTGCGATTGAGTGTGTTTGAACGACATTAAGTTACAGTACCTTATGTTGAGCTGAGTGAAGAGCTGCAGGCAGCCTATGCTGAAAAGGTTGCCAAAATGGTGCAGGAACTTGATGTTTCAGATCTGTGTTTGCTTTCACACCTCGAAGAATATGCAGCTCGAATCATTTTGAGTTATTTTGTTTTCTTTTTTGCAAACAAGATTCAACAAGATCAAGCCAATTTCCTCAATGTTTCAAGATTTTCTTTTTACATCTTTTTACATATGTTTTTTTCACTATCTTATCAATTTTCTATTGTGTTCATAGCGTACGCAACATTACAGTATATTTTTATAACCACACGATTATCCAGAGTTCCGAGGATATGTATATAGCAACAGATTATCCAGATCAAGGCCAGATCCAGATTGTGGAGCTCGATGACTATGTGCAGCGAGTAGTTGAAGGGTTTGATATCTCCTTGAACTGCCCAAGTGCACCAACTTGGACGTTCATCCTTTGCAATGCTGTTCATGATCCGCAGGGGCCGATGAACCATTGGGTGCCTGCCTTTACAGAAGAGGAGCTGGGAGAGGAGGCATACAAGAAGGCCGTAGAACGCGCAGACGCAATAGCAGAAGAGAGGGAGGTGCGTTTGAAAGAACTTGTCGAGTTCAAAAGGAAGAAGCACCAGCGTTTGGCTGACCTGGATGTATTTTCTGAAGAATCCGAGGAATGGCAGATCTCCGTTGAGCTTCTTGCCAGTGCAGAGAGCGACCTGATCCATGAGAGGAGGTGGCAACAATTCAGGCAGCGTTGCAAGGAGCGCCAGCTTCACCCTGTCAAAGTTCCAGCTGACGGCAATTGTCTTCTTTGGAGCTACATAGTCCTACGTGATGATCAAGATCTATTGGGTAGCTGCCTGAATGGCGAGGAGTTTGAGGGAAGACTGCACGTTGCAAAAGCGATGCGAACAGGGCTGACTCTAGGGTGGAGAGGCGTCCGTAGCGATGCTAAGTGGCAAAGGTTGTTTCAGATTCTCTATCATCAGGATCCAGTCGCAATTGCCGCTGTGAAGACAGAAACGAAGGTCGAGCAGCCATCAACGCCTAGAAAGGAAATTCCAAGGCACGAGAAGATTAGCATTGACTTGTGCACTCCGGACTCAAAAGCGGAAAGGCCGGAGGCTTTGAAGCGGGTAAACGCTTGCCGGAAGGCTCCTGGCTTCCAAGTACGGAAGGACAGGTGTTTTCAACCTACGCAGCCTATCAAAAAGGAGACCAAGAGTGCCAAACAGGCCAAGCAGGAGCCTTTGCCAGAGAAGCCTTCATCAGCCAAACTATCCGCGCCACCGCCAGTGACATCTTCTGGGGCACCGCCAGAGGAACCTCCTGTCCCACCGCCTGCTGATCCACCCAAACCGGAGGACGATGATGTGTCTGTCATGAGCGGACCAGAAGATCGAGACATGCCCAAAGGAGAAGAGATAAAGCGGCGTCGCATTGGACGCAAGAAACCCAAGTGCGAGCGTGATCTTCACATGAAGGGCCTCAGGATTTACCTCGCGAGGGCTGGTGTGGCATACAATGAGTGGTTAAGTTGGCATTGGAGGCCCTTAGCTTGGACTAAAACAGAATGAACCTGAATGAAATAGGCATAGACGGTTATAGAATGTTATAGAATGTTATAGACGTGAGAACAACGAAAACGTACGAACACATATTAAGACACATTTGCAAGATCAATATTGGGCTTACAGGCCATCATGACATATCATGACTATAAAATCAGAGGTGTTAGCTCTATGAAATCAAAAGTATGCATGAAGTAGTGGAGGTATGATTTTGCAACTTTGTAACAACTTGTCAAAAAGTACATGTTCTGTCCTTGTCTTCACACCAGCGTGACTTTACAACCTGAGGTGTTGGCTCTATGAAATTAAAAGTATGCACGGAAGAGTGGAGTATGAATTAGTTCTAACTTGTCCAAAAGGAGTTCCGTCTTTTTATACATTTTCTGTACTATTTCACCATTATTTACCCTTGGATCAATCACAAGACCATGTTGAGATGTCATTCGTCATTTGGTTGTTTTTAGAGCAGCTATGATCAAACATGAACAGACTAACTATTTAAAAATAAACAAACATGACTTTTAATACTTTTACAATCTTTTACAATATTTTGCAAAATCAACCTTGGGCATGTAGGCCATTGTGACATATTGTGACTATAAAATCAGAGTTGCTGGCTCTATGGAATCAAAGGTATGCATTAAGTATTGGAGGTAGGATTTTGTAACAACTTGTTCGAAACTTTTCCGACCTTTTCCTTAGGCCATTTTGACTATAAAATCAGAGGTTCTGGCTCTATGAAATCAAAAGTATGTACGGAACAGTGAAGTATGAATCTGCAATATCTCGTACAAAGCGTATTCCGTCTTTTTCCTCCTCAGTGGTTCCATGTGTTTCCAATTTCCAATGTTTCCACTAATCAATTTGCCTGCCAGGCTCGCTGGGAATAGAAAGGGTGGCTCCTGCGAAGCTGGCAAATATACCGATTTGCTGGAGAAGTTGCTTGTCAACCCTGAAAAGCCGGACGTAACCTGCGAAGCCTGTGCAGGGCTTCTGGCCGCAACAAGCTTTGACGGTCGGACCGCTCTTTCTTTCATGCTTGACGGTGGCAATGGCACTTCAGCGGAGGCGGATCCGCTGCCTTTGCAGGCCGGCGACAGGGAGGACCAAGACATGCAGGAGACAGAGGGCAAGCTGAAGAGGCAAAAGAAGGAAGATGACGAGGAAGAAGAATGGACAGCAGAGCAATTAGCTCGCTTTGTCTCTCCATATCTGGAGGCTGGCTTTGCTAGCGCTTTGTTGTGCGGATTGTGTTTCGAACACTCCTCAGAACCCAAAGAAATTATATATATAGATAAAAATAGATGAAAACAGTCCACTCATGTATATAAATTCAATGAAGAAGTACTTGCAAGAGTAGACATGAGTTGACAGGAGTGCAGTGCCATTAGCAGACTCAGAATATTCTGCTTTTGTTTAGTCTCTTTGTGTGGATTCAGGTGCTGCCGAAGACGGCCCAGCGGAAGCAAGCGATTCCAGTTCTTTGCGCACTGTGCACATCGAAAACCCAACCTGCTGGTCGTGTATTTGACATGTGCACATTGAAGCGAGATTCTGCCATCTTTTTTCTGAAGCAACATTGTGAGTCAATCACCCACATGAAGAACGTGGCCAGACGCAGGGGAGATCAGGTTTCAGTGGACCTTCAGCCAGACCTCCTCGAGTGCTTGGGCCTGTCATTGGAACATGAGTCCAGTGGTGCTCTGAGAATGATGGCGGATGAAGTGACACAGTGGGTTGCTTGGCAGGGACCGTCCGAGCTGAGAAAGCACAACTACACACTCAGCAGCAATACTTCTTCGCTCACTCTGAGACATGATAGGTGCTTGAAGAGAACATCCCATCTGGAATTTGGAAGGCCTGTGTGTGCGGAGTGCATGAAGCTGAACCAAAAGGATGGGATCCGTCGCACGGTGATCCGCAATGCGGTGAAGAAATTTGCTGCGGAGGAGTTGTACGCCAGGCTTTTCGAGTCTACCGAAAGGATGGAGGAGCTAAAGCGGTCCCGGAAAGAGAGTGCGGTGTAGCTTATCCGTTGTATAGTGAGTGTTTTTAAATGTTTTAATTGCATGTCATAGTATGTGTATGTATGTGTATGTACCGTTTTTGTATGTTTTTGTTTTGCTTTATTATGCTGATCTTTAATGTATTGGGCTGAAATTCGGATAGATTAGTAGATTAGGATATATTAGGATAGATCAGGAGTTGTTGTTGACTATTGCACCGCAAGGTACACCAACCACTCGCGATTGATTGAGAAGATCATGGCACTGAAAACGCACCAACTTCAGAGTTGGGTGCGTTCATCATTTCTTTCGATTCCTGTGGCAAGCCGCAGCCCGCAGTTCAAGACTTTCATTTCATCTGTGGTGCAAACTTCGCTGAACGTCAACATCACAGAAGCAGCACGGGCAAAGCCGCATGTCCTACAGGCCGAAGTTCTTTTCCAGCAATTCCTGCAGTCTGGCAGCGCAAGCGACATGGACAAACTGAACATAGCAGTCGCGTCCGCTTCCATCCGGGGCAAACTTCAGCAGCACCCTATCCTGCAAGGCCTCACTTTGAGCTGCTACAAGATGATCGAGCGCCAGGAGCGTGGCCTGTCTCAGCAGGGTCGCGACAAATCAGGTTCTGTGAATGCGTCCGAACTGGGGAAGTCTTTGGTTGCGCAGGCAGGAACAACACTGGCTCTGGCCGGTGCAAACTCCGAGCTGCTCAAGATGTTTGGCCGTTCTATTGCCTCTTGCACACCAATGGTAGCTGACCTGCATGTCCAGTCCTTACCCAACCCTGTGATGGCACTGAATCATATGGAACGGCTTCGCACAAACATTACCTTAATCGATCAGCGCCTCTCTGCTACAACGCAGACCACAGGCCGTGTCTTGCCTCATGATGCGTTACTTTCGTTGCTTTGCCTTATGTCGATGGGATATCAATGGATATCACGCGATATCTGTCATATGGATTTGTAATGATTTGTATGGATTTGTTATGATCTGTATTGATCTGTTATGATTTGCTATTTTTCATCCGCTTCAAGATGTTTCAGATTTTTGCTCAACAACACGTTTTGAAACGTTGATAAGGCAGACTTCTGGCCGCCTTCGACTGCACGTATTTGTTGCAAGTGCATTCCCAACTTCGGATTGAAGGCGAAGAAGTCTGTTTGGTGGGAGGCCGTTGGAATCCATCATGTTCGCAATGGTCATCCATTCCGCTCTCAGAAACCATCAACACGGAAGAGATCCCAATGGCATCGGACATGCTACTTTGCTTGGTCATGCCTGGTCTATGCTGGTGTATTTTCCCATAATTTTGTGTTTTGTATTGTTTATATATATATATATATCCAGTGGGTCAGGACCAATGATTTCATAGAAGCTAGATGGAGCTAGCACTGAGGGTCCTAGATTTAAATTGTTTTCATATGCCCCTTACATGTAGGGCCTCCGGATTTCATAGGACACGATTTGTAGGGCCTCCTGACATGTACATGTTCTGATGTACATTCGTTGCCTAGGCTTGAGATCTTGCTGTGGGATCCTTGCGCAAAGCACAAGGTGTGCTTGAGCGCAGCATCTGTTCCGGTTGCAGCTGCTGACCTGGATTCAAAAATGATGCTCCGGTGCTTGGACTTGTTCATGCAGGAGGCCCACCCGTACGTCAAAGGATTGATCTTTGATGGTGCGTCCCAGCATCACATCATTCGACGTTTTCTCGGCGGAGTGCCATCTGTTGAAGACAAGAGGCTGGCAGACAGCCTTGGCCTGAAGTTCTTTGCGAAGCTGGCATACCACCCGTTACCAGAGCACGGACTACCCAGACTGCCGGTTCAGCTGGTGACATATGGTGACGAATCCATCTTCGGACTTCCTGCAGTATGTAGCTTGGCACAATAGCACATACCCGGCCTGTACTGAACACATATATAGCTCCCATACTGACCCAAGGGGTCCAGACTTGTGATTTTATAGAGCACACGTTCCTTGTAATTAGGTGTTCGTCATGCAAGGATCCCAGTCCAAATCTTTTCTACCCAGCCTGTACATAGGACACAGCCACCCCATACCATCCATACCTACCCCACGGGGTCCAGACTTGTGATTTTATAGAGCACATGTTCCTTGTAATTTGGTGGTTTCGCATCTCACTTAACATCTCCAAACACTTCTCCAAACATCTTGAAGCTATTTTAAAAATGCTGGGACCTCCAAGGGCCACTTTGAATACGCTGGCAGGCAATTCATGTTCATTTACTGTTCACATCTTCGGCCAGCCTTTGGCAGCTGTCGTTTTGACACTCATGTGGATCCCACCGGAACCAGTTTCAACACCCCTGGCAAGCCCGAACCATCCCATACCTACCCCAAGGGGTCCAGGCTTGGGATTTTATAGAGCACATGTTCCTTCTAAATTGGTGGTTTCGCATGTCACTTAACATCTCCAAACATCTTGAAGCTATTTTAAACACAATTTTTTCATAATTCTTCCATTTGACAAAAAAAGGCCGGATGCATTGTTGTTTTTGCGAAGAATGCGCATTTGGGTTCCCTGGCATGTTCAATCTATAGATGGATCATGATGGATCTATAGATTATTATAGATTCATGTTTCCTATGGTTTCCTTTGCTTGACAGATTGGTGTTGCACCCTACAGGCCACGCCTCGAAGAACACCGGGGGACAAGTCCAGTCCGTGCTGCGGACGGTCCACCTGGGATTGTACTGGGTGGATTTGACTGGCGCAAGGGCGCAAGGCTTGCCTCCACATGCATTCGGCAGAGACGACGCCCAATCCGATTGCATCCAAGCTTTGCTGTCCACCCCATGGTACTATGTTCCAAGCACCGAAGGTCAGATAGATGCAATGCCTGTCTTGTGGTCCTGCCGTGGCAGCTTGCTGTGGTCGCTTTCGACCGCCTTGTGCGTGGGTCCACACCTGCATCGGCAGATGTCGCTCCAAGACCGCTGCGAGACTTGTGTCGCTGGATTTGTCCTATGGGACTTGTGGCAATTGTTAGCTGCTAAAGGCGAAGCATCGCACGAACTTCCAGCTGGCAGCCATAGCATGGCAACAGAGACTGTGAGCAATTTGCAGAATCTGTGTCTGAGCATGGTGGCGCTTTGCTTGGGCAAGTCTGTAGCTTGGATTGATTGTGAAACAGGATCGAAATCTTTGGTCTTGCTTCAAACTCCTCTATATAATATATCTCTATATGATTTTGTAAATGTGGACTGGGTGTGATATTGAAACGGCAGGAAGATGCCTAAAGCTCATTAACAAGCCAACGGCTGGCACCCAGCATGCCGGAACTCCATTGCAAAACAATGGATACAAAGCGGATGACACTACTCCCAGGGATCAGCCGACTCAGCCACACTAACTGGAAAGACCTGGGCCTGTGGCTGGCAGGAAAGGCACTCATGGACGATTGTCCAACCATTGCCGGCGGATCAGCGGACCAGCGGATCAGCGGACCAGCGGATGAGCGGATCAGCGGACCAGCGGATCAGCGGATCACACAATACATCACAATACCATAAGTCAGGAAAGGCATGGAAAGGCTATGAAAGGCTCAATGTGGCTATGGTATGCTATGGTTCAATAATGTTCAGTAGACTACCTGACTATACCCATATACATCCCAGGGGGTCCAGACTGGTGATTTTATAGAGCACACGTTCCTTGTAATTGCTGTAGGTGCTCGTTACGGTCACACATTCCCAGCCTGTACATAACGCACGTAGCAACCCCGTACCATCCCATACCTACCCCAGGGGGTCCAGACTGGTGATTTTATAGAGCGCACGTTTGGAACATGACGTTCCTCGTAATTAGGCCAGTAGATAGCACATAGCCACCCCAAGGGGTCCAGACTTTGGATTTTATAGAGCGCATGATAGCACATGTTCAATGTGGTTGTTGTTGGAGCTGAGGTAGGGTGTAGACTTTCCCAACGGGTCAAGATTTGTAAATTTACAGAGCATTTTCCTTGTTTTATGTTTTGTTTTTTGAATGTTTTTGAATGTTCCTGCTGTTTTATGCTGTTTTTTAAAATCATTTTGGGGCACGAGGGGTTCCGGACACGTGAATTCATTATAGAAGTTCTATCTTGTTCGGCCTCTATTCTATTCTCTGAAGGACGATTGGCTGCCATTTCACTATGGCCACAACCGCCTCAGCGAGCTGCAGATTGAACACTGGTTTGGTCGACTGAGAAGCTCACAGCCAAACGCTCAGATGAGTGCGGCCACCTACTGGAAGAGTGCAGCAAAAGATATGCGCCGCCTTTGCCACAAAGCTCCCGACGCAGAGACCAACTCCGGCAAAAAGGAGCCACCTTTGACTGGCAAGCAGTTTCTTTTCAGCAAGAAGAAAAGGGCGCTTGGGAGTGGGGTGTTGTATGGTGTTGTATAATGTGTTGATGTTTTAGTAAATCTTGTCAGTTTGGGCCCGGGTCTTGTCAGTTTGGTCATGTTCGGTCCGGGTTCATTGAACGCAGGTTTCAGAAGTGCTGCGAGCGCGGATATGAGTCGGCTTTGCTCCTTGGATCATTTGCGCAAAACTGCACCGTGTCCTCTCTGAAAGCTCTCTACGAGGAGTCGTGTGGAATTGGTTGGTTTGAGGATCGCCCGCTGTGCGCGCCGCAGTTTGAAGATGAAGTCGATGAGGTGGAAGCAGATGCCCGTGCGCCGTCACCTGGTGCCATTTTTGGCTAGGGGATGCTAGGGGTAGGGCTCATATGTTGCAATAGTTTCAATATGTTTCAATATTTTTTTGGCCATCAAGTGCATATGGTATGGACGACTTGCTAGTTTTATCATGTTTTATCTAGTTTTAATGTTTTAATGTTTTATGTAGTTTTTATTCATTGTTTCGCCACATTTTGTCCTGCCATTGCTTAGGTCTGAGACAGTGCGATGCCAGCACGTTCTCGGAGAGATCGCTACCATGGCAAGGGCCAGCCAGGATGACCAGGAAGATGAGGTTAAGTGCTCTGTGCTGGACACAGACTTGCAGCGCTTGCCGGGAGCCGCGAGGACGGAGATCATTGATGCATGCTCGGGCGAAGAACCTGCTTTGAGTCCTGCGGCCCACGCATCGCCAACCTTGCTACGCCATGCGATGTCCCTGGTCGACAAGTGCTGCGCTTGACTGTAGCATACTGTAGCCTTTTGAAATCTGTTGAATGCTTTTGATATCTTTTGAACTATCTTTTGATATCTTTTGATATCTTTTGATATCCTTTCACACCTTTTCACCTCACACTTTCCCAGCCTGTACAGAGCGCATAGCCCCCATACTTACCCAAGGGGTCCAGACTTATGATTTTATAGAGCACACGTTCCTTGTAACTAGGTGTTCCTCATGCAAGGATCCCAGTCCAAATCTTTTCTACCCAGCCTGTACATAGGACATAGCCACCCCATACATCCCCATACCATCCCATACCTACCCCAAGGGGTCCAGACTTGTGATTTTATAGAGCACAAGTTCCTTGCTATTTGATGGATTTTGATGGTTTTCGCGTGTTTCTGCTAATACATGCTAATACTATCTAATACTCTTTGCATCTCTTCGCGAGACTTCCATCAGCCCGCCAATCCACTGGTTGAAGTCAGCCAATGTTGCCGGAGGTCATGTGGAGGGGACAAGTGGAACTCTTTGTTTCGACTATGTTGCCATCTTCGTTGCGCCCCAGATGGGGCCGATGCAGCATGGATCAAAAATCCGAGGAATCAGAATCGGACCCGCAAACTGAACTGGTTTCAGGAGAACTGTCAGAAGCTTGCGAAGTTGCAGCAACGAAGCGTCAGTGCCCGGGATCGTGTGAGAGCAGGAAGGCTCGAGAGGTGGCGCCAGCAAGGGGAAAAGTTGAGGGAATCATTTGCTGTGCCTCTGGCACAGCCAGAGGTCTTGGAGTCATTTGAGCAGCGTTCAAAACATGTTTCGACATGTTTCGACCAAATGAAAAGATATTGCATGATGTTTGTATGGTTTTTCAATGTCTTTAATGGTGTTTCTATGTTTTCTATGTTTTTCTTGCCCAGGTCAGGCAATGTGGTGCTGTTTGTCTCGCGCAAGAGGACAATAGATGTTGGCATGGTCTTGACCGTGTGGCGGGTGGGCCAGAGGAAGAAGGTTTGCGTCAATCCAACCAGTGTAGAAGCCTGCTATGCATTTCGTGTGGTGGAGCTTGAGCGAGTCAAGGACAGCAAGATAGAAAAGACATGAAAAGACATGGAAACAATATGAACGAATTGAAATGAACAAAGGTTTGAAATCTGTTGGTTCTTGACTGTTCTTGATGTCTATAAAACTTGAAGTATGGACCTTCCCGAGTCATTTACTCTTGTTTGTCTGAATGAAATCGATACAAAAGGGATCAAAAGGGAAGCATACTCAATCCATCCCAATTCTATAAAGTCCCAAGTATGGGGGTGTGTGCGGGTTCTAATATGAGTTCATATGTGTTTACCTTTTTTTTAACCTGTTTCATCAAATGCGATACGACTTTCCTGGTTCGTTGCAATATGTTGCAATTGGCATTCCAACACTATATGCCCCCTGCGTGTCCAGACCCTTCATTTTATAGAGATTTCTCTGTGCAATGTTGTGTGCCAGGACGGCTCTGTTGATTGGGCTTGCAACGCGTTGAGCTGTTGCGAGGTGGTTCCATTAGAAGCCTTGGTGGCCATTTTGGATTGTCAGGATTGCAACCCAGCGGAGTTGTCGGTCTATTTTTCATATTTTTCTATTTGATGTATCTTCTTTAATGCTTCAGCTGTTGCATGCTGTTGCCGTTTGTGTCCATTTAAGCTGAGGCCATGTTCCCGATCACAAAATGATCCACGAGATGCCAGTGAAGCTGACGGGCAGTTCTGTGACAGCGGTTGAG